CACCGAATCTCGCCATCTAATGGGAGAGGATCACCTCCACCTCACACAATTTATCATGTCGTACACTTACGGGACTACATGACGATAGCAATGGACGGGTTCCATAAACGCTAATCAATTAAAACGGATCAAATACCCGCGATAAAAATAATGTACTAATTTAAGAGGCTTTGCTGTAAATGCTCCCGGAATCACTAATCAATCAGTCAAAAATCAATTAATCAAACGATATGAAAACATGTACCACACTTACGACTGATCTTGGCTGTAGACGCGCTCGGAATCACTAATCAACCAATTGAAACTAATCAATCAACGGCGATAGTAACACGCACTACACTTATGGCACTGACAACGTACCGGTAGACGTGTTCGGAATCATCAACCATTCAAAAGTAATCAATCAACAGCGATAGGAACATGGACTACACTTATGGCACTAACAGCCTACCTGTAGACGCGTCCGAAATCATCAACCACTCAAAACTAATCAATCAATCGCGATAAAAAACTGCACTTTATTTACGGGACTAATGATCTTGGCGTTCGCGCGTCCGGAAGCACTATCCGATCGAGGGCTGCCGCGTTCGTCCTTTGTCCTTGGGCCGAGGGCCAGTGTGCTCTGCCACCGCCACCGCCGCGTTCGCGGTCGCCGGCGCTGCGCGAGTGCCGTAAGAGCAGAAACTAGTTTCAGAGGCAGCCGCCGCCGCAAAACACCGCGCGCAAAGTTGAAAGAACCGCCGGGCGATGGTGGCGGTGATAGCGGCGGTGCGCTGGCGGGACGGACGCGCCGACGGCTGGGGTGGGGCTGGCGGTGGAAGTAGAAGCAGAAAGTGGTGGTGATGGAGAGGGGGCACTGGCACTAGTATTGAAGATGTTGGTGGTGGTGAGGTAGAAATGCAGTGGCGGTGGTGCTGACGATGGTGCTAGATGCGGCAATGGCGCTGCTGGAGGAAGTGTTTATGGTGGCGGTGGCTGTAGTTCCGGGGTGGTGTTTGTTTTGGTGTTGGTGGTGGTGCAGGCGGCGAAGGTGACAGATATGACGACAGTGGCCTTGATGGTGGTGAGTGGCGGTTGTGCGTCGGTGGTGGTGGAGATGGAAGCGAGGCTGGTGGCATTCAAGCCGGCAGAAATGGCAATGATGTCAGTGGTGGTGTTGGCGCCAATGATGGCGGTGAAGGTGGTGGTGGGGGAGGCGACGCGCCGTAGACGTTAGAGATGGCAGGGGTAGTGGTGCGGGCAGTAGTGACGATGGCACAGGTGAAAGTAGAGGCGGTCGAAGTGGTTGCCTTAGTGGTGGAGGGGATGGCGACGCTAGTGGTGGTATGGGCGCGGTGTAGGCTGCAGAAAAGGCAGTGGTTGCGGCGGCGGCGGTGCTGCTATCACTAATGGTGGTGGAGAGTGGTGTTTGTGGTGGCGGTTGGTGATGGCGGCGGAGATGGCAATGGTGGTGGCAACGTTGGTGGTATGGGTGGAGTGATGGTGGTGCAGGTAGTTGTGTACGTAGTCGTGGTGGTGGTGATGGCGGCAGTCATGGTAGTAGCGGCGTTTGAGTAGTCAGCAGCTATGTGATAGCAGGGGCGGTGGCTGGAGCGTGAGGTGAGGAGGTGGCGAGGGCGGGAGCGGCGAGGCTAAACACAACCACAACGGCTGCTGTGGTGGTCTATCGTTCTGGGTCTGTGAACATAGTGTGGCGTTATATCTGTCGCCAGTACAAACGTACTATATCAGTCACGTGGACAGCGCTGGCGGAAGAGACGCTGGGCTGCACAAAGGCTAGGGAGCAAGGGAAGAGGGGTTCGTGGGCGGAAGTTGGGAGACCCCGAACACGGCGGAAACGCGTCGGCGGACACTGCGGGTGACGCAGTGTGCCCAGAAGGTATATAAGCGGATCCCGACCTAGCTCGATCTTCTGTTTTCATCTGATTCTTGGGCGCGTCGGTAAGGCGTCGTGTGGGTTGTGCGCGGCGTTGCATTGTAATGCATAGGCGACCAAGGCGGGGAACCGAAGCCGGCGTTCTACGTCATGACGGTAGGTGCGGCATACTCGCTGGTATGCTCGCGTAAGGTACTGGTGCATCACACCGAACATGCTAATTAATTATCGGGCCAGCGGTGGTGGTAACCAGGGAAAGTTCCTTCTTGTAACGGTCAATTTATTTGTAAATATTGTATATAGTATTATGGTGTCGGAGTATTTTATTTCTAATAAATACTAAATATTTACAAGCCGTTCACGTGTGTAATTTATTGCCCCGGCATGACGCCACAATAGTACGTGATAGAGTATGGCAGAAAAAAAGGTTGATGACATTCCACCTCGTGGTAGAACATCACAATTCAGATTGGAAGTTTAGTGTGTTTAACTCATTGGCCTGCGTGCTCTCTTTCCATGACGCAATTCTGGGTTTGTTTCCCGGTCGTCACAGTTTTCCTTGCAACGCCTCAGTATATGTTGCTGTGTGACGATGAGAAAACTCACTTCTCAGGTCGAAAAGACCAGAAACAGCGTAGGGATGTCTTCGTGCTAACCACGTACCCCCTTACCCCCGTTGCGAGGCGGGCACACTGCTTGTAGACCCTGTCTCTTTCGCGGACTGTCGAGCCACATACTGACAGAGAGTTTTGAGGGTGTTTGTGGTGCAGGGTAATGTAATGGTGGCATCCCTGCAAGAGTAGAATGGCACCCTCGGCGACGATGTTGTTCTCGGATGCTCGAAACAGGAAGGAAAGGAAATTGGCTGGAGGTGTTAATGGTAATTGCGTCGAGGACAGTGCTGGTAGTGGTTCTTGTGGTAGTCGTGATTTTTCCTGTGTTAATGGCAACCGCAGTGATGAAGGCTTCTTTATCCGCAAGGGAAAATGCTGATTGTGATACTTAAGGCTGTGAGGATGGGGCTTGTGGTAGTAGAAGATGGTATGTGAGAATGTGGTTGTAGTAGACGGTTTGCTAGCGATGGTTCCCTGTAGGGATGGCTGTAGGATAGAGTAAACTGAGATAAAATTGAGGTCAGTTCCTATTGAAGAAAATATGGCCGTGCGAAGTACCAAATTTCATGATTTCTTATCCATTTGTTACTTTTAATTGTACACAAGAACAATTAGAGTATGCTAACAGCTTGAATTTTTAATGTTTAGTCGTTGGGATTCTGAAATATAAAATATCAAAGGCAATGTATCTTTGTTATCTTCAAAGTATCAAAGGCAAAGTAAATTAAAGTAAAATGATTGCCTTAAATGGCTTTAATTAACAATAATTTACACATACGTCGTCAACATCCATTTTCTGCATTTCAAATGTTATTGTGAAACAGTTTAAATTGTCGTATATCGCTATTTAAATTGTAATTTTATAGTACTACTTATACTTCATTCATGTAAATGTATAGTACTGTTGACGGAAATATTGCAACTAATGATAACGAGGTTGGCAGTTCTGCCGCTTTATTTGTATTGTTTTGAATTGATTGTAATTGTTTGTAAAACGTAGAATTTATGTTCATTGCACGCCACTGTCGTGAGCTTAAGTGTGCTAGGCATTATGATTTTGGTACCGTTAGTATCAAAACGCTACCAACGGTTTTTGATTCCCGTCTTCGCCACACGTATACCGATCCCACAGCGATCTTATTCATAGCTTTTCATGGCTTATATTCTCACTAGTCTAGAGATTAAGACTTGTGTCGTTGGAGGATTTATTGACATCGGATATGTGCATGTCTCACGCGGGCACATTTTTCGTCATCACGTCTTTTGTCTTGTAGGTGAAATTGTTTTCCCTAGGGTCATGTGCCAAGTACCGTTGAATGTAACCATACAATGGAAGCATTAATTCCTTTGAAATTCACGTTTTTTTATGCGGATTTCTCTAGGGAAATAATGGATTGTGTTTATATGTATCGGGCAATGACAGCTAATTTAATTGCACAGATCGTGGTGCTGATTATAGTCAGGGCTGGTGAGCTACGATTGAGATGATGTGGAAGATGTTATTAATCTACGATTTGGCTTCTTGCCAACACGCTGTCACACTTTATCTAGCTGTACGTATAAGAAATCTACTACTTCAACAAGTTGTACAGTTTTAAAGTGATGTTACTACACTACCTTTGGCGAGTTAATCATTATTTTATAAGAAAGAGAATGATAAAAGTGAATATTGTCTCTTAGTGTAGTCGATAGCGCACTAACTCACTAATGTGCGAATAGGAAAAAATTAAAATAAAATAGAAAGATCATCGTTATAAATCATACCCTCAAATGAAAGCTATGCGGAAACATCAATGCAATGTCTGAAACGAACTCAAGAACTATGACTTTCATCACGATTTAAAACTTTCAACCCCCTGTGGGGACTACCCGTGGAGTAGAAACTAGCGCTCTAGCTCCGAAGGCAGGTTTTCACCAGAAAAGAAATATAGAGGCATCACCTTCGAAAAATACTGGCATTGACTGATAACCGGACACATCAATGCTGTATCTGAAAACGATCCCAGAAGCCGAACTGGAAGAAATGAAGAAGAGGGAGAAGATGGAAGGAGCTGATAAAGGAAGAGAACAAACATTAAAGTAAGAAAAGAAGGAGGACAATATAAGAAGGAGAAGAATAAAAAGGTGAAGGAGGAAGTGATGAATATTAATATCAGAGAGAAAAGATAAAGTTGAAGCAGCAGAAGATAATGAACAAAAATAATTTAAAGTGGGATAAAATGAAAAATAAGTGGAAGAAAGTTACTATTAAGTGGAAGAAAGACAATACGAAATGGAGGAAAGAGAATACAAAATGGAAGAAAGAGAATACGAAGTGGAAGAAAGAGAATACGAAATGGAAGAAAGAGAATACGAAGTGGAAGAAAGAGAGACCACAAAGTGGAAGAATGAGAGACCACAAAGTGGAAGAATGAGAGACTACAAAGTGGAAGAATGAGAGACTACAAAGTGGAAGAAAGAGAGAATACGAAGTGAAAGAAAGAGAACGTGAAGTGGAAGAAAGAGAGACTATGAAGTGGAAGAAAGAGAAGAAGGTGGAGGAGAAGAAGGTGATGCTGTAGGAAAGCAGCTGATGCAGTGAAGACGAAGACGAGCAGGAGTGCAAGTGGCGCTCCCCGTGGCCAGGCTGCGGTCGCGCGAGCGAGTGACACGGCTCGGCGCCTCGGGGCTGCCTTGCATCATTCTTTCAATTAGCACGCAGGTAGCCTCGACCGCGCGTTATCGCCAGCCTTATATCTATCACCTCCCCGGCGACTTAAAAGGTTTTCATCAGTCACCGCCTCACCCAGCGTCTCCGCTGATTTTCCCCCTTGCTCTACTTGCATCGTTTCTAACTTTTACTACTAGTCCAGTCAAACACTGCTCAAAAAGGGCAATTAGCGGAAGTTTCTATGTATTTTGATATTTGGTTCCTATACGTATTTTGGGTTACTGAAGACAAAAATCAGATTTGCCCGCAAACACGTCTTTGTGCGAAAATGTGTAAAAATCACGCCTTTTTTTATTTTTTTAAAAATAACTCAAAATCTGTCATTTTTTATAATAAATGGTGATATATGACATAAAATAAAATAAAATTACCTACATTTGATGTCATTAAGATTTTTTCCCAAATTAACGGTTTAGCTGTGAGAGCAACGTGAAATTTGGTGATATAAAAGAAACATGTGAAAATACATGAATTATTCGGTATGTTAATCCCGTTGATGTAATTCTACAGTTGGTTCTTTAGTAGTTATTTTATTGCATTTTGAATTCCTGACATGCATTGGGATGTTATTTTCATATTGCTTTAGAAATAGCTCATTATTTTATAAACAAGCCAATGAAAAGGTTTTCGTAAGTTTATCATTGTTCTGTCGCTTTTCTGGTGTCGGTTGTCATTGAATTTCTATTTTTACCGGGAGATATAGCTCAGGGCACCAACTCAGGTATTAATTCTTAAAAATTGCATTTGCGTTTATTTTCTGTGCAATGAAACTTGTTTCGAATCCGAAACTTCCTTCAAACGTTCAAAGGAGTGAAAGCTAAAAAGGTGTCGTGAGACTTTCATTGCCTTTACCACCTTTCCTATCCAGCCTATTTTTATATTTCCTAAAGGCCACCTTAATATCTATCTATTTATAATTATTTAATTTTGTTACCGTATTATATTTTTTCTGATTTATTACACTTGTGTTCATGTTTTATTTTTTATTAGATATCTTATCATGATCCGGAAATACGTAGTATATTATTGCGCATGAAGTTCAAACAAATAGTGGCTTGAAATGTTTTCATGAATGAGTTATTCACTGCATCTGCCACTTTTGTCCACTTTTAAATTCTCTACTTTTGACGACAGTACTTCTTGTTCTAGGTATTCTAATATTTCGATTCATTATGGGTTTACTTCATTTATGTTTCATTGTATTACACAGTACATTATTTGCAGGTTTACAATTTTTACCAATATTGTTGAAACAACCGCTCATTACTTCGTAACTTAAATTTCTTCTCATCAAATCGTGTTTCACTTAATTTTTTTTTTTCAGGATACTTGTTGAACACTTTTCTTTGAGTTACTATTACTGTCGCCTGAATGTAATATATAGACTGTTGCGAGAGAAAAGAACAGCTATTACTTTTTGTCCAACTCACTAATGCAACACCGTTTCTGCTCTGTGACCCGCGTTTGCCTTATGTAATTGCCACTTAAGAGCGCTAGCAGAGACTGAGATGTTTGGTCATTAATTTAGTTAAGTACAATGTTCCAACCGTAGTGGGAGTTTGTGTCTCTGCTGCAGTGTCAGATCGGCCTGTAAAAGTTCTTTATGAGGACGCCGTGTTGCAGTAGTCGATCAGGTGGCGTCCATTAATCTTTTCATTTTCTCTCCTACTACTTTTACGTAGTGAAGATAAAGTATGTAATTGTGCAGCGAAAAGTGGCGATTTTTCGGCAGAAAAATTCATAGTGGGGCTTCCTGATATCAAAAAGTTCTTGCTCATTTATGTAGTGAATTATTACCTCCTATAATAATACGTTGTGAAATCAGAATTCACGTTTTGTGAATTCTTGCTAACTCAAATTTGTTTTAGAGCAAAATATTCTTCCGTGTAGTATTCCAAGGTATGTAATAATAAAATAGATCTAAAGAATAATTAAATGTTCTTTCGAATATTTAATTTTTTATCGATGTATTCTGGCTTTATATATAAAGGTAATTATATTACAGACAGCATTTTCAGTAAAAGAAAACCTGTTTAAACATATTTATAAAGATTTTAACACACATTTTTACTGTTTAGTTCACACACAGTTGTTAACTGGTTTTGGCGTGAAATAAATAAAAATAAATCAGTACTGGCGAAGGTTCAATGAAAGTTCATCTCGTAGGCATCTAGAAAAACAAAACAGGGTAGACCTCTTCTTTCCGCCACTGACGTAACCTCAATTGACAACCCAAAACATACTCTGACAGCACTATATATTCTTCGAATGGACAACGCGAAAAATGCAAACCGCACGTAGCATTGACTCCACGGTGAGCGCGAACTGCTTGCAACTCGCTAGAACGTGTTAACCACGTCTTCATTGTTTGCTGCGAGCTTCTCTTTCTGCACAACCTCTCTCTTGGCCGCTGGCCGCCCATTGGCGGCCTAGTTTCACCACCTTTTGACGCATCTCCCGTTCCTTTGACGCATCTCTGGGCTCACCATGACGCCACCACACGCCGCCGACTTGTTGCTGCCCGCGGAGTGGTGGGTGAATTGTGAATTCACGCTAATCTCTCCATGTAAAAGAGTTTTTTGTGGCTGTAGCATTAAGTAATTAGTTAATTGATTAGTGAGTCTCCGTGCGCAGCAACTGCGAAGGTCATTAGTCCCGTAAGTGTAGTTCGCGGTTTTACAGCGGGAGCAGGTGATCTTCCGCTGGATGGTGAAATTCAACCCCGACCTACACGTCGGCTGTGGGGCTTTTCCCCAACCAGGTGTCTACTATCAGCGGGCCACCGTCCTAGCCTCGAGAAGCTCTAAGATCCCGACTGGTCTCCTGGCATATGTGGTAGTGTAGTGTAGGTGTGTGAGAGAGAAGAGGCTAGAAGAAGTAAAGAAATATTTTTGCGCGGGGCGTTGGGGTACTTACGTCTCCGACATTCACCTGGTATTGATCGGAGAAACCACGGAAAACTACCGATCAGAGCAGCCTTTTGAAGCAATTCTCCACACAGCGGCTGAATTCGATCTAGCTGTTACACCAATTGATGCCCTGAGCTACCTAACTCAGTGTATCTGCTCGTAGGTGAATTGCGAGTTCATATTATATCCACGTAAAATACTTTTTTGTTTTGTTTTTTGCGCCACTCGCAGTAGCATAGTAGTCATTGTTTTTGCTATTACGCAACCCTAAGGCTCGTCTGCGTACGCAATGAAGCGATCAGAGGCGTTTCTTCATTTCCTTCATTTTGTATCCCAATCATATTCACGATGGGAGTGCTTTATTCAATCCCCTTTTAAAGTAGTATTTAATGGGTTTTCTTTTACGAGTATCTCCGTATTAAGAAAAAGCGATTAAGAGATAGAACTTAAAGTAAGTGTGTTGCCAATTATTGCGAAGTCTTTCATGTTTGTGTTAGTTAAAGTGTTCATAATTGTGACGAATACTGATATTCTCGAGGTATTAACTACGCTAATGTGTTTCAAGTGCTAAAAGTCTGTGTATTATAGCTTGCAACATATAACATTAAATGCGCAATAAAAGTCAAAAATTAAGTAAAAAATGTTTACTTTTCGGGCACGACTGTTTCAACTTTCCAAAGTTGAGCGAAACCAGGATTATGTAATAAATCGAGTAAATTTGGTGAAATGTACTCCAGTTTTAGAAACTTTTCACTGTTAAAGGCAATGCAGTTTGTCTTATCAGAAGTGACACGAGTAAAAGGCCGTGCCCTGTCAAGGAGAGAAGTGTGATTTAAACACTGATTCATTTACTGTGTGCAGATATACCGGTTTCCTCCAACAAGCAAATAATTGAACAAAATAGATCAACTTACATTACAAAATATTTCATTTTCGAACGATTGGACGATATTTACATTCAAACTAAATAAGTTATTTCACTAATTACCTCTTTGTTGTCGACAAAAGCGAGAATTTAGAATTATATAAGTTGTGCATGAGCGTTCAAAAGAGACGTATTATTGTATTAACGAGAATGTTGTTATTTAGAAGTACGTATTCAATATTTTATGACTATTTTACACTCATCTCAATCAATGTAGCATTAACTGTTTATCAATTCCGAAGTCGTAAATAATTTTAAGCCATTTCATTGTCCCGTTAGCTTGAAGCGAATTATCTTTTATTTTGAAAGGTAAACCTGTAAGAGTTCCATGCATTGACATGTTTTCTTGCTGTAATCATTTTTTTATTTAACTTCTGAGAGTTAATGAACACACGTTTCAGATTTTTACGCAATTACGAATGAATCTCAGCGCACAGATCAAGTCCCGAGCTACCAATTTGAAAGCGAATGAAGTTGTTGGTTTTTCTAACCTTTACCTTATATGAACCAGTGAACGGAAAAGCGGCGGGGCTGTGTAAATAATTCTAAACAAGCGTAGTCCCTTGTTCCTCCTTATCTCCCAGGCGTTAGGACTGGTCTCTTTTCTTGTACTAGCAAGTGCGGCTTCGCTAGTTCTTCCTGCCATGTCACTCCTCTCGAGATGAGCAGATTCTGTCGTTCGAGTTACCATTTTGAAAGAGTTACTGTTTAGACACGCTCTCGCTGACTACGGTTTCTCTCGCACTTGCCCGCAATCCACAGACGTCTTTGGATCTTCTTTCTTATAGATAGAAGTTTTAGATAGAAACATGAAATAACAATTACATTTACAAATAAAAAACAATGTATATAATAACAATAAAAAAGGATAAATTTCCTTTGTCACTACCTAGCACATCAGATGTCATTTACATACATATATTACAAATGCAAATACATATATGTTTACATAAATAAAATTGCATACTACATTAATATACATTCATACACGTGTACAAACGTACACAGACTTATGAATCGTCTCATACACACAAGCCTGCACCTTTTCAGCCATAAGCATATTGAGAAATATATAGAAAATCATGTTTACCTGTATAATCTAATATTTATGCTGCAGAAGTCCATTGATCTTCAGATGGGGAAGCATGTAGCTCTATATTTAATTGACTGAAGGTTCCTGGCACGTCATATGCTATGGTAATTAATCGCGTAAGTATAGTGAAGGCTTTATAAACCTGAAGATGTCGGTGTTTCTCTTCCGCTGGATGGTGAGAACCGGCGCCGTCGGACGCGCTGACTTTCGGGACACATCCCCCTCCAGGTATCTCCTCCAGCAGGGCTGAACCACTTACGTGAAAGATTAGTCTCCTGACATTGTTGATAGCGTAGTGCATTAATGTGCGAGATATGTCATTGGGCAAAGAAGAGGAGGGAATGATCTCTTCGCGGTCCATGGCCCGATTGGCGGGGTATTACTCCCGCAGTCTCTCTGTATTGGAACCAGGAAAAAACTACTGACAGTTGGACCAACCCTACAGCTATTTTTCACCCGACAGCTATAATTCTCTTCTAGGCAGCTGAATCGGACCTTGTTCGCCAGTGTCGAACATTGTGCGTCTGTCAGGACTTGTATCGTAGGACCTCCGTGAGAGACAAGCTGAGGAGACAGTGTTTTGCTGGCTCTCAGCTAAACTCGGCCAGTAAAGTTCCATCTAGAGCCAAGTAAAAGGCTCTCTTTATCGATCGTTCTCCCTGGCTTGCGTCGCAAATTTGGAGGAAAATCGCGCTGCGTATCGGGCTGAAAAATCTACATGTTGGTCCCTGTTAAGGATCAGAACCGCTCATTTTCCACTGCTCTTCGGAGTGTCGGCGGATCATGCTCTTTGCGTAATTATCTAGTCGTTCGATGTTTTGCTACTGAGAAGCACCCTGGATATTCCACCTCTTTCTATGGAGAAATTAACTAATTTAGAATTTTTACAATTAAAGTAATTTTAACCAGATTGTTTGTTAATGGCATCTCTTCCGTGGCAGTTTTAATGGCACTATTTGATGCGGAAGTTTACAACGTGCCATGTGAGATCGCATTTTAAACCAATTTTCGTTGCTCAGAATGCCATAAAAGTTTTTACTCCAAGTGTGGTTTATTGAAAGAGAAATAAATAATGTGTTGCGATGGTGAATAGAAACGTTTCAGCAGTAACGGTCTCAGAGAAGTGGAAATATGGTGACTACTCCCACTTTAGTTGTTGATACTTTGATTCGTATTTGTCAATTTCTGTCGTTAACGATTTTTTCACGGCCGATTCTTTTCGTTATCGATTTTTTCACTATCACTTTTTCGCTATCGATTTTTTGCTACCGATTCTTTTCGTTATCAATTCTTTTTCTTTTGCCGACACAGGAAGTGCTGGATTTTTTTCTCTACTCAGAGCGCGTGCGGACGGACGAACGGACAAACAGACAGAGGCTTTTTCGTCATTCCGTTTTTCGATATCGTGAATCCACAAAACATTGATTCTGATTACACCACGTGTGGATTTATCTCTTTTTCCTTGGCAAGACCAGCTAATAAAAGTTTTTATTCGCATTGCATTGTTTAACTTTCTCTCTACTGCCTAATTGGTAGCGAGAAAGTAAAAATTAAAATGATGTACTGAATCAAATATTCATTTTCTTCGATGGGTGAAGCGGCCTTCACATGACCGATTCCATCGCAACAGGCCGTGAGCGACTCGCCAGATAAATTTATTACTGTTGAAAAATGCAAGATTGAAAGCGCAATCGCGTGGTAACAAGCCACGTTTCCCGGAGGCGTTGAATCTAGATTTCGCACGCGCGGGCGGTTATAAAACCCGCATAGGTGGCCGCCCGCTAGCCGCAGCGGCGCTGAGGTCGGCTCGCCGGCGTGCTTTTATTGCACGGCTGAAGAAACCAATCAGGCCTGATATACTGTATCGATAAAATGTCACCCTCGCCAGTGCGTCCGATTCTTTTTTGTCGAAGCGCCAGCATGGAGGGTGGAATAGGCTGGGAGAACGGAGCGTGAACAGTACAGCCGCAGACAAAAGTTGCGGACGTAGGCCTGCGTAGCCATAAATGACAAGGGGGCAACTACAGAGTTGGTCCATCCTCCCCTCTTTCCATTAAACTGGCTTAGGCGTTTATAAAGAACCGATTTCATTCAGTAATACAGCCGGCTTTGGTGGCTCATGGCATCAATAGATATCACTGCAGTGCATCTGAGGGAGGGGGCTTAGGAGTCAAGTCCCGATGATGACAGTATTTTCGACACTAGCAAGATCGAGTTCGGCCGCTGTCTGGAGGAGAATTCTGGCTCTGCTCTGATTCGGAGTTTTCCGTGGTTTCTTCTATCAACACCAAGCGAATAAAAGAGCAGTACCCTACGAAAAGGGCCACGGACCGCACGCGATTTGTCCTTCCTCTTCCTTGTCCTTTCGTCACACCCATTAAACATACGCTTACATGCACTACACTACCGCAAATACCGTGTTACTGGTTGGGATCTCAGAGATTGTCCCGGCTGGGGAGATGGTGGGCAACCTGTTATCCGACGGCAGGTTGACGCCGAATTTCACTAACCAACTGTGGAAGATCACCACTACCTTCCCAGGAGGAACATGCGCTACACTTAAGGGACCATTGACGTTTTAGCAGTTGTTGCGCTTGGAAGCACGAGATAATCTATTAATCTTTCCATTAATCCTTTTTTTTATTTCCAGTGGACTCATTTTGTAAAAGAAATAAATAAAACTTCCCACAAAGAGGATTAAATAATAACCATAATGAAACAGTTAATTAATAATACCAATTATTTATTTTATGTTGATCCATTTACAGAGTTGTCGGATGATTTCGAAGTCGTATTTAATGCGTATGGCTTAATGTGTATCATTTCTCCAAATAATCAGCTTAAAAGTGAGAAAATAAATTCAAATTTTTCTGGAGTGCCGTGGCCCCCTTGTGTCCACGTCTTGGGCTGCAAACCTGCAGTGTTTATTTTCAGAGCGTGTGATCGTGTGAAATGTGTGGTCTCGGAGCAAACATCATATCCCGGGATTGCTTTAAACGTTTTCTTGAAATGGTTGCAAAGGAAATGAAATATATTTATTTGACAGCAATGCTCACGTGATTCTAATTGCGAGCACTAAACTGCATCCGTTTACTTGACGGTGAGCTTGTAAAGAACATCCCTCCCATGCATAACCTTTATCTTCTGTCATCAGCGGAGCGAATTCATCTGAAAAATATTACATTGAAATATAGAGACTTGCATTCTTATGAAGTAAATGATTCATATTTGTATAGACTGTTCCATCATGAAATGAACAATAGCGTTTAAAAATACTTCTGGAACGCTCTAACCTGCGGTAGTCTATCTAAAATGTGAATACTTTTTTTCTAAACAATTTTCTTTGTCACTTCTATGTGACGGTTAATCCTAAGCTGCGATACATCAGAGGAGGCGATACGTACAGTTTCATTAATATAATTAATATTTTATGGTAATTACAGTCATATAATAGTCTTGTTAAATACCACTCTTGTATTGAAAATCTTCTGATTAACTCCCGCTGCGTCTCGCGAATAGGGGAATTTATCAAAAATTTTAAATGGTTTAATTATGAAATATATACATCAGATGAAAGGAACTAAACGAAAAGCATGTATCAGTAATAATTTTCTCTTCTTCCTCAGGGATTACCTCGTTTGAGCTGATGTGGGATTCATCCATCCATGGTTTGGTATGTATCTTCTTCTTCTATATAAAAATGGATATTGATGTACGTAAGAGCTGTAAATTCCGACACCGTGAGACTGATCACCATCAAAGTTAGCACATCTACGTGTTTTTCATCCAGTATGTTTATGCGCTATTAATTTTGTTGTAACTCTACTAGATAACACTGTAGAACAATACTAAATATCCATGCCAAATACAATCGGCAACACTCGGCAACAATTTCCTAAATTCTATGTCGTTAAATAACATCTGATCATAGTGCTCTAGGGAATTAAAAACTAAACTTTTGAGTCTAAAGACCTCAAGAAAAGTTTGTCACATTATAATCCACAGGATCGTTTTAAACATTCAATTATATTTTTGCTGGTCCGGCAAATCTTGATATTACCTCACCTTCTCAGAGACGTTCAGAATCTGCAATTATGTGAGAGATAAGTAGAGACAAACAGAGAGAGAGAGAGAGAGAGAGAGAGTGAGAGAGACCCAGAGACCGAATCTAACTCAGAGAGAGAGAGGGACAAAGAGAGAGAGGGAGAGACGGACAGAGAAAGGAAGGGAAAAGGGGGAGATGAAGAGAAAAAAACGTCTGCCTGGTATCTATAGTACGATTATAGAATTTAACACACATGTCAAGAAATTGTCTTGGTTCTTACTGTACTTTGGCTGCATCCAAATAGATTCACACCTTACAACTTGAGTTTTAGTTTCTAAACTAATGAACATTTGCAGAAGTTTACAGTGCAAAACGAAATATAATAAAAAATAAAAACAGAGAAGAAATAAAAACACAACTTTAAAGATATGAATTAATGAACTGTTTTGACGACTCGCGTATAAAATACACTTTAAAGTAAGTAGTTAGTTGCGGCACCTGCATCCGGTGGAGTGCGGCGTATCTTGCAGAATGAACTCCAAGACTTTCTGTGCAGGCTTTAACTAGAAACGCCTCGTAAACTTTGAGCCTCATAAACGAAAGTCTGCAACTTATGACGCAATGAGAGTAGCTCCTCAGTGTCTCGAGGAATGCCGTATTATCAGAAAACAGCACGGCATCTAAATTGTGATAGCTACCAGAATTGATTCACGAACTTTTCACAGACGAGGCAGCGAAATTTTGATAGTTAATCTGCGGTAACGTCTCCAACACATCCACAACTCGTGGAACAAATTCGCTTGACGTGAATCTGGCTGTTTGCCAAAGAACTTTTCTATGAACTGCAGTACCGTGAAATGGAAGGTTTAACAAGAAATGCTCAGTATGTTTTAAACCACGTTAAGGATTGACTCTGAAGCATTCTCTGTCCTTAATGCTCGTTTTTTACTGTCAATCCAGTGTCCCTTACTTACTCTCTTGTTCCAATTTTTATTTTATTCTATTTCTTGAAATTTGTGCTTGTATCCTTTTCCTAGTCTTTCTAACTCTTCTTCTAATCATTTTTCTTGTTATCTTATCTCATCTTATATCAGCCAGTTTATCCCGTTAGTATATCCACGAACTCTAGTGAACATCAGTTTCAATTCGAACTAGACTATTTGTTAGTAAGTTGAGTAAAGGACCTGAAGGTTTTAAAAAGGAATATCTCTTTTGTTTCAAGCAGCATAAGAGATTGGCTGCAAAGTAGAATTGTTTCCTCTTCTTTTCCTTCTGATTCACTTTTCCTTTTCGTCCTCCCATCTCTAATTTTCCTCCTCCTAGTCTTTTGGAAGTTATCCTTCTCCATGCTAATTCGCCAGCTTCTTTTTCTCTGCATCAGGCTGTTTCTACGAAAATATCCGTACCATCCCCACTCCAACCAGTTACAGGGTTTAATAAGGAAAGTGTCGCGTGTTTTGAGCAGCATATGCCAAATGTCACGTCTTGATCATTCGCATTTCCCTAAGCACTAGCAGGCAAACGAGATGTCTGTGAACATGAACTCCTGCGAACATCAGTTACGGTTCGAACCAGTATCTCTGTGTTAGTGAATTTAGCACAGCAGCGGAAGGTTTTAAGTATGAAAACCTATTTGTGTCAAACTACATCCGCCATAGGCTGCAAATTACCTTTCTCATATCTTATCGTTTCCTCTTCTCTTCCTTCTAATTCATTTTTCTTACTCCCATTCTCCAACTCTGCTCCTCCTCCTTTTTTTTTGTAACTCTTGAGGTTATTCTTCTAATCATCAGGTTATTATGCTAATCATCAGCCACTTCTTCGCGGTATCAGGCTGTTTCTACGTAAGTATCCCTACCATCCCCAATCCCTCCAGTTGAAGGGTTTAATAAGGAAAGTCTGGAGTGTTTCGAGCGGCATACGCCAAATGCCACGTTTTGAGCATTGGCGTCTCCCGAGACAGTAACAGGCCGACGAGCGCCTCGGAGCATAAAAAGTGCGGGCGTTCGCCGGCTGCCGATCGGCAGATGTTGCCCGCAGGCGCGCAAGAGACTCGCCCGACGGCGGCAAGCAAAAAGCCACGCCCCCCTCTACCGCCCGGCCGGCGAACGCTTATACCCTGGATACGACGGCGTAATGACACGCTGGCCGAGTCGGTCGGCGTGCGGCCGCAGCCGTCTTGGGGCGGAGATGCACTTTCAGGCGTGTAGGGCAGGTGAAGGGATGCGGGCGAGTATTTTGTAAGTGCTTTCGTAGGCTTCCGCGGCCAGATCAATACATTCTTGGCTATCCGGGATGAGCCGCGTCTCGGGCAATTGGGCTGAGGTTTCGGCCATCTTGCGGCCGTACAGCTGCTATCAGAGGTGTAGCTCTGAAGAAGACCACAGAAAGATGGCCGACACGACAGCACAATTGACAGTATAGCTCTATTGAAGGCCACAGCAAGAGAGACGAAATGTCAGCCCAACTGACCGAGACGCGGCTCATACAGGATAGCCAAGAATGTAAGTATTTTGTAATTCTGAACCCGTCAACATATCATTGATTGGTTGAGTAATGATTCGGGGCGCGTAAACTGCTAAGGTCATTAGTCCCGTAAGTGCAATGCGTGTTTTTCTCGCCGTAAGTGCTGGTGAAATTCCCCCGCTGGATGGTGAGATCCGGCCCTGACCGATACTCTAACGTACCAACCAGGTGTCTTACATCAGCTTAGTACTGCCCCAGCCGAGACATGCTCTAAGCTCCCGACCGGTCTCCCGGCATGTGTGGTAGTGTACTGCATGTCAGCGGGTGTGTATATGTAAGGGGTGAGGATAGGATAATGAAGGGGAAGGAAAGATCGCGCTCAGTCCGTGGCTCGTATGTTAGGGCACTGCTCCGGCAGTCTAATGGTATTGATCGGAGAACCCACGGAAAACTACCAATCAGAGCAGCCGGCCGTTAAAATTTTGATTTAGACAAGTTGGATTCTATGTGTCCAGTGTCGAAAACTCGACCTCCACTCGAACCCGAATACGTCATGGAAACGATGCTACAGTAACAACGAAGTTTCCGCTAAACTACCGCAACCGCTAAGTGAAGTCGAAGATTAAAAATAGAATGTTGGATTTATCTCGTCAATCATGTCTAATTGGTGACGTGTAGGTCAAGACGAAGATGGAACGAGTTTGGTCTCTAAAGTGGAAAATAATCATCAGTATTGATAATTTAAATGTTCACCTTTATTCCGTCGGTAGAACAGTTCTCGAAGAAAATACAGAATAGTTATTACGTGGTAATGACTCTTTAGCTGCCTGGTCATGAGGCTGCTCGTTGGATGTTGTCTTTGTAGGCCGGTAGATTTGAAATGAGATGTTTGTTTGGTCTTTTCGGGAGATGAATAATGAATGTCATGAAAGTAGAAGTGTGCAGAAAATGTATATGTCGTTTTCTCTGAACTGGAAAATGAACATGGTTAAGAATTTAAACGTTGTCCTTTATCCCGACGATGGGACAGTTCTCTAAGAAAATACAGAATAGCTAACGTGGAAATGACGGGGTAATACACGTGAGTGGTTGTCAAGCTGTTGAGTCGATACGAACTTGGTAGGCATGGTTGTAGATCTGAAATCAGATGATTGATTTGGTTCGTCAATCGTGCCTTGATGCATTCCTGGATGTCATTAAGATAAAGTCATGGACAGAAAATAAGAATTTTGATTTGTCTCTTCAATATTGCCTTGTCGAACATTCTTCAGTTCAAATACTCATTAGTACACACGTCGTCAATCGATGATGATGACATGAAGAAAAGAGGGGAAAACGTAAGAGGCTTCTCAAAGGAGAAAAATTGTGAAAAAAAATAACGAAAAGAAAAAGCCCGAGAGGAAGGGAAAAAGAAGGAGGTAAAATATAAAAAAAATGAATAAGGTCAAGACGTTAAATTAAAAAATTAAATGCGAATGAAGTCAAGGGGTTAGGATGGTGAAAGACGAGCTAAAGGTAAAAAAGAGAAAGTATAGAGGGAAGGAAAAGAGCTAAGAAAACAGAAAAGAAGAAAGATAAGAATGGTAAGACGATATGAATGTGTGAAAGAAGTTGAAGGAAAAATGATAGTGTGAAGTTGAAGTAGAATAAAATGAAATGGACATAAATAAGAAGAGATTTCGGGCAAACAAGAGGATAGCAAGAAAGAAACATGTTGAACAGGGAAGACGATGAAGCAACAGGGTACAGAAAAACTTTCTGAATAGGAAGAAGACTATGGAGGAGAGGAGGAAAAAGATGTGTATACTTTCTGTACTATCCTGAAATTAATAATATTAATATGTATTAAAAAACAAAAATGAAGTTGGAGTAGAAAACAATATTTCGTCGAAGATTGACAGTATTATTGAAAATTAAAAGGAAGAAGAAATGAGAAGAAATAAAATAAAATAGGAACAGAAGGAAAAAGCGTAAATAGAAGAAACAAAAGCGAAAAGTACTAATCAAGAGAATAAGAAAATAAGAGAATACTAAGAAAGTAAGAAACAAAATAGGAACGGAAAAGAGGAAAACGAAGAACCAGAGAAGAGGAAAATAAAACAAACGGAGAAGAGCGGGAAAGCCGGATTAGAGGAAAAAAGGAAAGAGCAAAGAGAAAAACG